TGTGGGTGGATGATTGCAACCCTTGATCCCTGGCCAGAAGCATTACATTATATAAAGAGTTTTTTTCTTCATTAGGAATTAATCTGTGCTAACCAACTGTCAACAGCTGGTAACGACTGTTTATTAACATGCTGCCCTCCCTTGTCTAGGAGCGTTTAACTGACTTAGTACGTTAGATGTAATATGAAAACACACTTATTTGTATCCCAGGCAAACACGTGGCCCAGTGTTCCCCCTGCCAGCCCACCCGTGTGCTGGTGCAGTGGGGCAAGGGCAGTCGGGCAGGGAAGGGCAGTGGCTCGGCCTTCTCCTGCCTTACCACTGTCCAGCTGCAGGACATGGCATCAGCTCATCAGAGCCTTTCCGCTGGAAAGTCGAGCTGATAAAAGAGCTCCAGCCTGTGAAAGTCCTGCTTTGGATTATACTGGGGGCATTGTTTGCCACTAAGTCAGGAACCAAAGTTTGCAGCAATGCAGAAGGCATGGAAAAGAACTTCTGTGCATTTATGGAATGCATGAGTTTATTGATGATTAAGTCAGGAGAGGGGTTTATTCTGCCTGGTAGAATTTTTGTAAATGTTCAAAACTTTTGGGCTGCCAGGTAATCTTAGTACATGCTATGGAAAAGATGGGGCTGTTGTTTATGGATGAGTTATCACCTCTGTGTGGTATAAGGAGACATTTAATGTCATACTTGAAAAATATATAAACAAAAAATACCCCACATCAAATTGCAACCTCAAACCATGTCATTTCTTCTTCAGACGGAAATGGTGGGAGCAAGCAGGGCTTGTATGGCTTGATGGAGGGCCTTCATGGAGGGTCACAGACAGAGCAGAGGTCACCTAGTCCAAAGAAGTGAAGAACAGAGAAAACCTGATGGATATCTGCACAAACTTAAGTACATAACCTTTCCTTCATACCCGCTGATGGTAGCACAGGCATAACAGGCCCAAGTCACAGCAAGGCAGACCCAGTCTGGCTACCAGTAAACACTTTCTAATTTTAAGACTGGTTAACCACTGGTATAAACTGCCCAGGGAGGCTGTGGGATTGCAGGTTTTTAAGAGTAGGCTGCATGAGCATCTATCAGAAATTATCTATGGGCAGTCGGTGCTGCCTTTGGGTGCAGGAGCTGGCTGGCTAGCCTCCCTGCAGCCCCACGGAGCCTGTTTTGCCTGGCTGCTGCAGCAGCGCTCAGGCATGGCGGGCTCGTTCTGGTGGTGGTGACGTGCCCCAGGTCTACCATTCCTTGGCCAGCAAGGTGTTGGTGTGGGAGCCAGGCTGGGCCTCACTGAGCCACACCAGAGCCTGGCAGCCCTTTGTGCCACGCATGTGTGCTCTGCCCAAGCACCCAGGGACTGAGCGCAGCAGCTTCACCCTCTCCAGCCTTCCCTCGAGAAACATTTTTCAGCCTCTTTCTCTCTTCTGCAGCTGCTGGAGTCTTGTTTCTTTCTGGGTGATTCCTGCTCTCCTCTCACAGCCTCATAGGAAGCAGAAACAAGGATTAGGGTAGATACTGGAAGATGGCCAGAGAGGTGGCTGCTTGGCAGCAAGCACGTGGGAAGTCTTTGAGTCTGTTACCTGCTCTAATGACAGTGGAAAGCTGGGCTGAGGTATGGGCAAGGTGCTCAAGGTATCAAGGCACATCGAGGTTGAGGGAGGCAGCTGGGAAATGGCACCAAGATCAGTTTAACACGATAGGGCTGAGCAGGGTGAACCAGCCTGAAGGCTCATGAGAGGTGAGCGGCAGGGCATTCAGTCCCATCCAGGCTGCGCCAGGGACCGCAGGCATGCCTAGGAGCAACCATGAGGCTCCAGGGCAGCCTCTGTACAGGGAACAGATGTGCCTGGAAGCAACTGTGAGTATTTTAGGGCTTAAGCGTCAGCCTAGCAGCATGGGATGGAGAAGCTGAGGAATGAAACTCTGGATCTGAAGTGTTGCTCCAGTCCTGGGGGCAGGGGTGGGTCCTCCTGCGGGTTGCCTCCTGGACCAGCACCCACCAGCCGGCTGGGCCAGGCCTCTCATGGCTGTGTGACTTGCACCTGCGCTGGGTTGCTTGATACCTGAAGTTAGGTTAAGCCTCAAACTTCTTTCTGAGGCTGCTTTCTCTTCTGTGAAATCTAACAGAATGTGATTTTTTTATTTATTTGTACCAAGATGTTTTACCTCCTCCCAATTAAATTGTTCTACTTTATTGGACTCACATGGTAAGGCAATGGCCGTACAGACAGGCTTTGTACTTGTAAAGCAGCCTCGATGGTTTCTCCCCTTGGCAGAGCACCAGCACAAAGGTGGCTTGAATGGAGCTGTTAGTCACATATTTCCATGGGTTTTGTCACCAGCTGAGACGTGGGAAGAATATTGACATGCTGAAACATTTACGTCAGCTGACAGAGGACTAAGGAAGAGAAAGCACAAACATTACAGCCATGATTAAATAAAAGCTGGAGAAGTGAGGAGCAGCTAATGGCTTGGCAAAATACTGCCTTTGGCACAGTCACAAAAATACTCACTTTCATTTGTGGGAGGACCTTTTCCTCTTCTTGCCTCTTTCTCTTTCCTTTTTTTTTTTTTTTTTTTTTTTTTTTTTTGTCCTGCTAAGCACTGCATGGCTGGGCCTGCATGAGAGCAGGCAAGAGATGGGGAGAGCCCTTCTGTGGGAGGCTGAGCTTGGGGAAGGGCAAACTGATAGACAGCATTGATCCTGGGTAGCATCACTGCTGGGCACCAGGCATTCCCTGTGTGTTAGTGAGGTAAAGAATGACACCCGCAGAGCTCCTACCCTGGCTTTACTCTGTGTGAGTGGTGGTGAGGGCTCTGGGCAGCTCAGCAAGAGCTCTTACCATTTAGCAGCTAGGATCAGAATTGAGTTGCACAGTTTTCATGTTCTCTGTCATTTAGGACAGAGAGCACCTGAGGGCCCTGGGCAGACCATTTGACTCCAAGTAATCCACAGGACCCCTCATTTTGATCCTTTCCTCTGCTTTCTGTGCTGTTCACCAGTTCCTCTCCAGAGGAATCAGCCCTTTGAAGCAAGGACTCCTCCTTTTCCTCTCCTGGGCCATAACCAGGAGGAAAGGGAGGTTTGGCATGGCGGCAATCTGACAGCAAAATCCTGCAAACAGTCACCACATCTGCAGACCAGGGCACTGACTTCCCTCATGGACAAAAAACGCATGGAGAGCCCTCAAAGGAAGATAAATGTTTCCTTCAGTACACCGTTCCATGACTAGGTCGGAGCCTTTTGGGGCAGGTGGACACTGACCCCACAAAGAAAGGGTCTCACAGAGGCACAGCATGTGAGACCAAGCCCTGAGGAAAAATCCTTTGTCACCTTCCCTGGTGTGACAGTTTGCATCTGCATCACCGTCATGGCTGGGCGTGACTATCTGAGATGGTGACTGTCTCCAGATCTGGCGCAAGCAGGAGCTTCTTTTCCTCCCCATGCAGTCCTCAGCACTGCACCCGAGCACCTAGCAATATGTATTAGATGTTGAGGCTACTATCCGGTGCAAATGATGCAGTCTTTCTCTTGTCCAGCTCCTTGGAGAGTGTCTTGTCTCCTTGCCTGACAGCTGAATAACTCTGCCTTTCCTGTTTTGTAGAATGGCAGCTCTCCTGAAACTCTAGATGAAAAAAGTGGTTTTGCTTGGAGGCTGCTGCCATGACAGTCTGCGCACAGCACTGAAGGTGTCCTCCCAACCGTACCTATAAAAATGTGGTCATTATGCACCTTAATAAGAAAGGTTTAAAATTTCATGGTTGAAATGAATTTGAACCCTAATAAAAATCTAGATAAAATGGAAAGAGCCAGGAGGCTAGAGAGTTTTACAGCTCTAATGTTCTGTTCCATTTCCTGAAATATATTTGTTCAAGTAATTCAAACTGTCGTTACAATTAACTTGTCCTTTCATTTCCCTCTCCAAATTCCCTCTAAGCTAAACACACAATTTTCTTCTATAAATCTGCGTGACAAGTAGAGCAGTAATTTTTTTTTTCCTCATCATTTATATGCATTTTGCATGAATCGAGTTGTCAGGCACTTTTCCTAAGCTAATTTCTATGCTTGCAAGTGCACATATCCATACTTAGAGCCACCTAAAAGACTTGTCAGAGAAGTCCAGTTTGGACAACTGGCCAAGATGAGTCTTGTGTGTTTTCTTGAAAGTAGGAAATCTTAAAAATCAGTCTTTAAATCATCTGCTGAGGGCTTTTCTCCTTGCTCCAAGAAGCAGGCAATGCAGGACTGTTCTGGTTTGGGGGATCTTCTTTTAGGGTGCAACACAGGCTAATATCAAAAGTCAGTGGCATGAGGCATGATTCATTTAACTTGTGGGCAGCTATGGGTGCAAATATTGCTTGTCTTTCAAGGTCCCCCTGCCTCAAGCCCCAGTCCACCGCCAGCCTAAGACTAGCTTGCAGCAGAAGATAGCTTTTTCTTGCCCAAAACAAAAAGTGCCGCATGGTGACATATGATGCCCAGGAACTGAGTGCCTTGGGAAAGCTGGGTCTACCAATCCTCACCTCTGCAACAGGCTCTGCTCAGACTTGTGGTTGCCCCTGCCCTTGCTCCATCCCAAGAGCCAGATGCCAAGAGGAGCACCTTGCCCCCTGCTCACGGACCATTTCCCTCCCCAGTCTTCTCACTTCATCCGAAATGGTAATTCTTCTGACCAGGAAAGTAATGACCCCGATACATTATTTCAAATGTAATTTTTGCAGAGGAATTAATCAGCTTAGTGTGAGAATGGATTACATTTTAATTCTAATAGTGCTAAAGTCTTGCTGGTTTCTAAATTCATTTTTCTGTTCTTTAAATTTCAGCAGAGCAACATCTCACTTAGACTGTACCTTGCTGTAATCTCTCCATTATGGAAATCTGACAGACAATAGCCATTAGTCAGCCTGGCCCGTGCACATTTACTTTAGTCCCATTGTCTGCGTTAGGGTTAATAGCTGAGATCAGGCAGCCGGGACCTCAGAGCAGTTTTATCTCCCATTGGTAAATGTGAAGACAATCTTTTCAAAGGCACAAAGGAGGAATTAAATTACAAGTTCTCATTTATAGTCAAATGGAGATTGAGATATATACCTGTCATTTGGGCTTTTGAAAATGTGCCCTTAAATGCAAAGTAATTACTAAAATTTCTTCAGTGGTGGGCTGCAGTTTTCACAAAAGGTCTCTCTAGCTTATAGCTGTAATTAATGGCTCAGTTTTCCCAAGGCTCTTTGCAGACTTCAGAGTACTATCATTCTTCCACTACATTTCTTCTACCTTGAGATACTTTTTATTTAAAATCAATTACAAATGAGGTGTTTATTCAGATCCTTTACCCCTGGACATTAGCTCATAGGTAACAGATCTCCAAACAGAATTAAAGTCACATTTTAGAGTTCACACCATGAAATGGACTCTTTCCCCCACTTTTCATCTGTTATTTTTTTTACCAGGTTTGATTATAGCGATCCGTACAGTGGATTGTACCTATTGTATAAACATTTTAGCATCAGTCTTTCTTGCAAAATTCTCAACACTTCCTTTTTTTCAGAAAGAAAATGTGAGAGAACCCATAATTTTTGCCAGTACCTCATTTCTTGGCCCTTAGCTGACAATAAGAGCCTTTTTCAATTCAACATAGTAAGTTTTCTGGGCATAATAAATGGTAGTTTACATACAATATATTACAAATTAACATATATACGGTATTTAACATAAGTACATGTCCCGGTGTCTTCTTTTGTTATATGCTACCTGCATATACATTCTACATATGTGTACATATCCTTATAGAGAGTTACTTTCTTTCAAAGACATGATTTGTTTAGAAGTAAGTAAAAGTACAATGGAGCCAGATACAGAATGAGTGGGGCCGACATTTTCTCTCTTCACAATTGGTCCAGGTTATTCTGAGAAAGTGCATTCATCAACGGGCTTTGTTTGCCCAAATTCCTTGTGTATTTCTGAAAATCCTGTCCTTCAGTATGTTAACTGCCCAGATGCTCAGTGCTTCACAGAACTGGGTTGTATCCATCAAATAGTATTCAGAGCCTAGCTTCAGGCACTATTTTTCAAAACATAGGCTGGATCTTGCAACTAGAAGTTAGATAGTGCTCTTGTAATCTAGGGGAGATGAAAGGTGAAATATATTCTCAATACCACACTTCAAATATTTGTTCTAGCTTTCTGCCTAGCCACTCTCCTCTTAATAAGCAGAAAAATACAATTCATAGGCTGCCTGAAAGAGATGCCTTGCTTTTATTTGCATCAATACGTTCATCTATTGTTTTAATGAATAAGTGCAAGTGCTGCTTAAGAGATTTTTTTTTCCTTTAATGGAAAAATACCCTCCTTGATGGTTTTATAGGCTGTATAATTGTGTCTGGTAGAAACAGACATCAATCTCTGCCAGTTATGTACACATGCATATAAAATAACAGTAAGGTAGCCTCTCCAAAAGATGTTTAGACTAAGCTAGCATTTAAACTGCAGGGAGCGCTAGTACAAAGACAATAGGATCTAAAGGTCTGTCTTTGTTGCCACATAACTTCTAAGAGAACAGGAGATGTAATAAAAACAAATGGCAAAGTAAAACACTAGGACTTCTTATTTTTGTATGCCAGGAGGCATTATTCATTGACCATGCTTTTGGGTTGTTGGGCTACACTTATATCTGATTTAATAGCATTATAATGTGGAAGAGTTATCTGGCTTAATGTCATTACAAGCAGGGGAGATGCCTGCTTTCTTCCAGCTGGACTGATTCAGAGGACACATTTGAAGAATTCATTATTAACTAAGACTAAAATCTTTGGATTCCCTCTTGGTGACCTGCTCAGAAATCATAACCATGCCCTGCACCTGTGCTAGTTAAGCAAATTAAGCCACTTGGCACCTCATGAGGTAGATAAACATTATCACTCCCCACTTTCCAGACGGAGGAGACAAGGCACTGAGAGGTTAAATAGCACATGCCATGGGTAATGCAGAAAGACTGACAAAACAGGGGGCACAGGGACCGAGTTCCTCACTCCACGCAATGGTGACTTCAAGGTGCAGTTCTGATGCCTTCGCCCAGCAAAGGTCCCTTCGCTGTGCTGTCCTGATTTTACTGGCTCCACTATTATGTCCAGGCTTTAAACTCTCAAAGGATAAATGGGCTATTTCTTCAATATTTTTTGCATCTTTATTGTGGTGATCTCCATCTGTTGATGTGAAAAATCTCCAGGTTTCAGTCCCAAGAATAGCAATGTATGGTAAATGCACTGACTTGGTGGCTCAGGAGAGAAGTGGCAGGCTGGGATTTAACACAATCCTTCCTTTCAGATACTGTCCCTCCATGGCTCCTCTTGTTGCCAGCAATTTCATGGATGTATTTAATTTTACGACCAGACAGAACTCCATTCATGTCATTTATTAACATGGCTGATGAAAGGGGAACACAGCTGTTAATTTGAGTTTCTCTCATCAGTTTTGTTTCCAGTAAATCTGTGCAACCATCAGTGTGACCTAGGCAGCAATATCTGAGGCACAAGGGAAAACCTGGGTATTGTTGACAGCCTGGAGTTGACACTTCCCTGCTATCTTCTACATCCCTTGAGATTTAGGGTATAAGAATTACTGCTACAGTAAGCAGAAAGTTTCACATGTCAGGAAATAGTTACGGTTTTATTATTTTGTTTGGTTTTCCTTTATTCATGTGATTTATCTGAATCTTCATGGCCCAACTTATTGAGCTTCAATAAGGCCAAATGCTGGGGGCTGCCCTTGGGCCACAACAACCCCCAGCAGCGCTACAGGCTTGGGGAGGAGTGGCTGGAGAGCTGCCAGTCAGAGAGGGACCTGGAGGTGTTGATTGACAGCCGGCTGAACAGGAGCCAGCAGTGTGCCCAGGGGGCCAAGAAGGCCAATGGCATCCTGGCTTGTGTCAGCAATAGCGTGGCCAGCAGGGACAGGGAAGGGATCTTACCCCTGTACTCGGCACTGGTGAGGCTGCCCCTCGATTCCTGTGTTCAGTTTTGGGCCCCTCACTCCAAAAAGGACATTGAATGACTCGAGCGTGTCCAGAGAAGGGCAACGGAGCTGGTGCAGGGTCTGGAGCACAGGTCGTACGGGGAGCGGCTGAGGGAACTGGGGGTGTTTAGTCTGGAGAAGAGGAGGCTGAGGGGAGACCTCATTGTCCTCTACAGCTCCCTGAAAGGAGGTTGCAGAGAGCTGGGGATGAGTCTCTTTAACCAGGTAACAAGTGATAGGACAAGAGGGAATGGCCTCAAGTTGCGCCAGGGAAAGTTCAGACTAGGTATTAGGAAGCATTTCTTTCCAGAAGGGGTTGTTAGGTGTTGGAATGGGCTGCCCAGGGAGGTGGTGGAGTCCCCGTCCCTGGAGGTGTTCAAGAGTAGGGTTGACAGAGCTTAAGGATATGCTGTAGGTGGGAACTGTGCTAGGTGAACTGTTGGACTAGATGATCTCCAGGGTCTTTTCCAACCTAGATGATTCTATGAACCCCAGTCAGATGTATAACTTAATCTTATCATCGAGTCAGATTCTAACAGTCCTGGACCTTCATGCTTCAGGCTCTGCCCACCCTGTTGAGTTTCAGCTTGGTAACCAAAAGTTTGGATGAACATAATCTCCACCACAGCCAAACAGTCGTGGTGTTTTCTAAAACTATGGAGCATGCAAACCTGGACATAATTGTCTTGTTGCTATCATGTTTCTACATTTGGGTTTTGCATTGTTAGCAAGGGAAAGGGAGATAGCATGGGATGAAAAATTAAATGCCAAGCACAGAAGCTTGTTACAATGCTCTCCAGAAGCTTTAAAGGACTCACATTGACCTTGGAGCCAGAAGCCAGACTGGCTCATTGAATCCCACAGTATTATTCTAACAGTATTATTCTTGGCCATTTATTCTCTGACATGCCTATGTTTCTACAGAGAGAGGTTCTGGCAGACATCTCCCTCTTAATCCAAAATGCCTGAACAGGACAATGGATTGGGAGAGACACACTGGGATACACAGTTTCTCTGTGGGCTGCACTTTCCTCCACAGCAGTGCGGAAAATCCTCAGAAACTACTGGTACTACCCTCAACACTGTTTTCTGCTTCTGGAGAGAGAAAGTGATGGTCCCAGAGACACTGCCCAATTACCATGTGCTGTCTGTACCTGCTACACAGCGGCTTCCCCTCCCATTTTAGAGGGCAGGTGGCAGATGCTACATATCATGTGGTGAGCTCAAGATATATGGAGAACACATGCCTAAACCTTCCTGTTTTCATTACCCATGTACCCTGGCAGCCATCTTCTGTGAGTCTGTGGGTTTCTTTGCTCTGCCTCATGATCACTCTTTACTTCTAATCTGGACAAAAGTGACCACTGACTCAAACATACCACCTGCACTCTGCAACCAACACCGTTGGTCCTGACCAGTCAACAGTCCTAATGGTATTGATGAAGGTCCTATGCAGAGAAAGTAGAATTCAGACCCTAAAAGGAGATATTCTTCACAAACCAATGGAAAGAAATATGATGTTCATATGTCAAAGAAAAATAAAAGGATTTGCTCAAAAGTGGATAATTTGAAAAGGAAAGGCCTCATTCAGTTCCCTTACAGGACATGCACCGTCCAGCCCTCCCTTTGCCAGTTGCATTTGTCTAAACCCTGACAGCCCACGTGAGCACTGTCTCTGGTTGCCCATTGAGCAGCAGACAGCACCAGCATGGCTGGCCCCAAATGAGCATACAGCACCTTTTGGGTGAATGGTGAGCACGTATTTTCAAGTATGAGAAATTACATCATAGAGCAAACAGGAGCTGGGGTGTGGTTGGAAAGTAACGATCACAGCAGGTTCCTCTGTGATCCTGGTGCATGGAGTTGCCCACTGGAGGATGTGTCCTCCCCTTTACCCTCCAAGGAAGCAATAAATTAATCAGTTTTCTGGCTTTGCATTCAGATTAGAAAAAAAAAAAAAAAAAAAAGAACCAACAAAAGAGAGTTTTGTAAATGTCTTCTGCTTCAGTCACTGCTGTGCCAGCATGCTTAGCTAAAGACAGACCAGTATATCAAATTAAAAATTATGTAAGTGCCTGGAAATATTAATCTTGAGTATTTATCAATTGCATGACTGTTCTGGATGATGTGCAAGCCCACATGGCCCTTCAGGTCTCTCTTCCTTAGTGAATGACATTCATTGCTCATAGCTAAGTGCGCAACCATCTTTTGTTGTTTTTCTTCCTCTGGGACCATCTGGTTTCTTGTGTATCCCGCCAGGCTGTTGGCATCAGATTCACTGTAGTTTTCATCCAGCATCATAGTTTTTGAATGAGGTATTCCACATGTACATGGAAACTAGGAACATAAACAAGAAATAAAGCTGAACACTGGAAGAACACATTAGCAACAGAAATTATGTCTTTCTGTTAACAGACACCTTGTAAACAGTTGAGCCTACTGTAAGTTTCTCTTTGAACAAAAAATCCCACTTTTTTTTGTTTTGCTTGTGTTCCAAAAGGAAGAGGCATGGTTTAGTTACACTGCTTGGACAAACAGCTTCAGAAAATATTAGAAAATGATTTAGAAGACATAAAAACTAACTGAAGGGTTTTCTTAGCTAGCTCTGTTCAGCCTTGTTGTCTTGAGTTTCCTTATTTGACAGGCTTTGTGTTTATACATATTCAAGGACAAGATGCACTTTTATCTATGGAAATGATTTATCAAGTATATTTACCCATGTTAAGGAAAAAAAAGGGCCAAGTTCTGATTTCACAGATATACATGTTTTCTTTGTAAATCTGATTCTAAACCAAGGAGAGGACCAGTTAAAAGCCTAACGTAAAATCCCAGCTCTGTTGAAGTTAATGTTAAAACTTGCCTTGACTTCAGCAGCACCACCATGCACCCACCCCACAAGTCTTGAAAAAACAGTGAATACAGGTAGAATTTTGAATGGCAAATACTGTCTTCCACTATTAAAAATCTGCAGGTTTTCTGTCCTAGCAATATGGTTTATATATTTGTACACAATGAAAATGGACTCCAAAGCCTCCTTTCTGATAGGAGTTCCTACCTCTGCTTCCCCACTGACTGCTTTCCTTACTCAATTACATTTTGCCCCCAGTTCCCTCCTCCATCAACTTTGATATGTGGATTTACAAAGGACTTGTTTTCAAGAATAAGTTCAGCTAAAATAATTAAGTATATATACACAGAAATGTATATATCCTGATTATTTTTTTTTAATGTATATATATCTAAACATGTAATGTTCAGGATGCTACTGGAACACTCTGCAGTCAAGGCTCTTTCTTCAAATTGTTTAATCAACAGATCATACTGCTTGCTGAAAACCTGAAAATCATCTTAAGAATTGTTTCCAGTGTTCTCATCATAAGCAAATTATTTTCTATCAGCAGATTGTGTGCAGAAAAATATGACAAGTTTGTAGCCCATTTGCTTTACTTGGTAGACCCATCACTTCAGGAATTTTTCTGAGCACTCCATGGGTATAGCTGAACATCAGTTAGGATTTGAGATGTATTTTGTACTAAGCAGGTATACCTAAAAAAAAAAAACCCAAAACCCAAATCAAAAAAAACCAAAAAAAAAAACCCAAAAAAACACAGGGAAAAATTACATCAGGCTCTTTATCATAACTCATGATAGGTCTGGGAGATGGTAGTGGGGTAGAAGGGAAAGTGGTTAACGGCAATAAGCTAATTGCTGCAGGACCCAGCAGAGGAAGAAATTCTGCAGATGTACTCTTAGCCCCCAGGTCAAATACAGCTCCCATGGCTTCATGTACATGTGATGACAGTCACCCGTATGGACAGGGGAGCCTAAAGTACTAGAAACCCACCTCTCCAGAGTCTGAAATTACACCCATCTTCACATAGGCACATATATGCAGAAGTATGCTACATAATTTCACCCTGCAGCAATTTAAGTCTATGTCTATACTAATAAATTAAACACTGCCAAAGAGCCTTCCTGGGCATGGGAACTCAGCTGACAAAACTATTGGAGTGTCAGAAACGTCTCTGGTCTGAATTTTGTCCAGACCAAGAAGCATCAAGAAGTTCCCGTGTACTGTTTGGGAATAAGCATGGGGCACGGACCTTTTGCCATGGGCAGTTCACAGCAACCACTATGCTTTCAAGGGAAAGGAGGTTTACTTTTAGATACTCCATGCCCATCAGCCTTGGTTCCAGGCACATCTAATTTCTTAATGTTGACATAACATAGAGCTCTTCTCTGGGGAGCCTAACATATTCATATTAGGATTTTTTGGGTCTTTCATAGGGGAGCAGCACTGGCTGACAAAGTCTATGTTTACAGTGAGAAATGTCTCTTCTGCTTCTTCAGGAGCACTCACCTACATTTTGTCACAATCCCCTCAATTATCTCTGTTCCCATTGCCACCACTGAGGATTAATATTGTCACATGCTGAAGACTGGATAGAATGTTTTACCTTATGTAATAAAAATGCATTTGCTGAATATAGAATTCTCAACAATACTCAATAAAGGGCAGATTTGTGATATAAATAACAAGCTACACCATCACTGGATGTGAGAAAACGTTCCTGAAAACTTAGCAGAACAGTAATAAAACCCTCTCGAGCTCATTTCATCCTTCCAACACAGTTAAAGGATAGGGGTTTTCATCTTAGAAAAAAAAAACAAAAACAAAAACAAAAACAAGAAAACCCAACAACAAACAAACAAACCAAACAGGTTTATTCTAGGCAAGTTGAAACTAGCAAGGATGATTTTATTTCCTGTGTACTGTCAAGACGCCGTCTTCTTTGGACATGGAAAGTCTGAGCAGGGCTGGCTAAAAGGCCACAGATCACTGCTCATGTGCAGCAAGTAAAACATATTTGACTAGCTGTGCTTGCACAGAGCATCTCTACCTTGTGTTGCAGAGAACTTCTGGGCACTCGGAGGGTACTAGGATAAGGGCATAGATAAATCAAGATACTTAGGACCTGCTAAAGTAGCTTTCCAGAATCACACTATTGTTGAGAAGGCCTTGGAGAGAGGTTAAATTTTGTCACAGGAGTCTGTTGAATTTATTCCAATCGCTTTTTAAAATGTATCTAACTAACTAAATGGTTTATGAGATGTCAACTAGGAAAGGTACTGGGCTGATAGGTGGTCTATTCTGTCGTTCAAGAAAGTCACAGGAAGAAGTGTGAGAGGAAGAGAAGGACATAGAAAGCCAACAGAGTAGTTCAGAGAGGGAAATGACATGGCCAAATCATATGAAATAAGATGTCTGCGTTGGCATTTCTGAAATGCTGATACAAATTTCTCCCAGAGTTAAAGGCTGTAGGTGCCCAATGTTACCTGTGAACTAATATGAGGAGTTCCTAACAGGAAGAAAGAAGCTGTAAAACATGGTGATGTTCTGAGTGTGTGGGGACTGAACAAATTTGATCTTAAACCCTAGTGTTCAAAAGGTAGTGGTGGGGTTTTTTTTAATTATAAAGAAGAAGAGCTCACGGGTCTGTAGGATAATTCAGGCTGAAAGGGAGCTCGGGTGGTCTGTAGTCATTTTGCCTGCTCACAGAAGGGCCAGGCTGCTCAGGGCTGTATCTGGTCAGATCTTGAAAAACTCCAAGGATGCAGGATAAGACATTTCATAGCACATTAAAAAGTACAAGCATAATCTTGGATGACTGTTTTTTGTGTTTGATATTGGGTAACAACTCCACTATTACATCCATTGAATCCAGTTTCCAGAGTAAAGGTGACTGTAGAGGGAGGAAATGAATTTGCTCCAAATAACACCTTTAGCTTAAAAATATAGCAATTGTGGCAGCTGCAGTGAAGTATCAGATTTGATACTTTCCCCTCTTTTCATCCCCACACAGTTCCAGGTTGCAGTATTCCCCAGTTCAGTTCACACTCTCCTCTTCCCTGATGTTTCTATGAAGACCCATGAGACCAACTCCTGCTTTTCTGATGTTAACAATTCAGTCTGAGGTGAAGCAGTCTAAACAGATTATACACACATGGATCTCAGTGTTTTCCCATTTATAGACATAAACCAGTCAATATAAAGACCAGTTCAGCTGTATGGGGAAAAAAAAAGGAATAAATAGATGAACAAAACAAATTTCTTTCTCACCATTTCATGGAGTTTCCTCTCCTTCCTCTCTTGCACCGTAGTCAGGTAATTCACTGCTGCGTATTCCAGCACCGAGAGAAAGACAAACACAAAACTGACCCACAGGTAAATGTCCACTGCTTTGATGTAGGAAACACGAGGCATGGAGGCGTTCACTGCAGTGATGATTGTGGACATGGTCAGCACAGTGGTTATCCCTGGAAAGAGCCAAGAGAAACAAATGTTATTGACTAATACCGTCCACAAGGCTTTTGTCTCAAGAAAAATAGAAATTATGCTCTACGTGATGCTCCAAAAGATGTTAGATATGAAATAAATTTGTGATAAGTATCTCTTCTGCCAATGCAGAACTGTTCCACTGCCTGTACTTCTGTGTACATGATGGGTTTAGTTCTGAGGAGCAATGGAGCAGCCATCATTTTGCTAGGAACAGCATTTAACTCCCTCCTTAACCTCTAGGATTTTAACACAATGCTTAGAGTCCAGTCTGCTAAGAGCAGTGGTTACAAGGACTCATTTCCTAACTGTACCACTCTGTGTCCCAGGCACTGCCAGAAAGTAACCTCGTATTGACTTTTGGTCACAGCTAAAGAGCATTTGATCTGAATCACTGATCTTAAAAGGGACGTGCAATAACAATAAAATGTTTTGCATGAAACCATGCAAAAGAAAAGCATTATGTTTTTACCTTTAGGAATATCTGTCCTACGGTTCAAGTTGTGGGAATCAAAATGTTTTGAACAACAACCATTGTTATATAGAGAGAGAGATGTGTGCATGTGTATGTGTTTATAACCATACATGTATGTATTTGTGTTTGTATACCTACATGTGTGTGAATATGTATATATATACATATGTGTATGTAAATATACGTTTAGACAGATATAGATAGAATCCTGCAAAATAGTATACACCGAATCATCATGGAGAGAAAAATATTTTCAAGTTTACAAAATAGAGAATACAGCCAAACCCATTCATATCTACTTCAGCCATTTCAAAACAGTTACCATTGTAAACACAGCTACTGCTGTTCACTTTTCATCAAGATCTAATTTTTTTAAAATAATACCCACTGAAAGCATTTCTTTCAGTGGAGTAGACTCTTGAATGTCTCTTCTCAACTTTTGATGAAGCGCACAGTTCTCTGAGACAAATTTGTGGGCTAAAATACTAGTTTTAAGCTTTCAGTACTATAAGCCTTACATATTAACATTCAGAGATTTTTCCTATTACATTTTTGCCTTCCTCTAGCCTATGCATGGAATGATAAACAAATAGGCTCTTTTTATGCTCATCTGAAAGAATTTCCTGCAGTCCTGACATAGACAAAGCTCCTCCTGATGGGCGTTAGGTGTCCAGAGAGGCAACCTGTTGTGTGCAGGATTTTCAAGCAGCTCCTTCTTCTCTTTCCCACTCCCTCAAATAAGAGGCCTCCTTAACCCAGGAATGTTGGACCCTCAGTGAGAGGCACCCTTGGGAGAGAAGAAAAACTTCACCTCGGGGCTGGTGACCTCTCATTCTCAGCACTGCAGATGTGAAAGAAAAAACACGTTTCCTTCACTGCCCCACTGTTGTCTGAGGCCTGATGTTACAGAGATGCCCTGAGTGTCCCCAGGGGCACACCAGATGGAGGGACACTTAAGTCTACAGGTGCTGATAGGACTAGATCCCTTGCTGCCTTTCTTTCCCAACTTTGTGAAGATGTGCCACATTGTCACCTTCAGGCAGTCTGGAGAAAACCACCAGCCACAGCACCAGTGCTGAGTGATTGGGAAGACACATATCTGGGCTGGGACACCTGAAGTGGCAGCTGGGACGTGGCAGGGTCCCGCTCATGAAAGGCACTCATGAAAACAATAACAGAAGCCTTTAATTCCCTGTAAGTGCCTAAAGTCCTGGGAAACTCTACCCTCACTAATGGCAATGTGTGTCTCAGAACATTGAGTCTTGATTCAATGACTCATAGATACTGAAACCTCTCTTCTCTGCCCAACTTTATTTTTAAAACTACAGCCATTTCTGTCCTGAGCTAAGTACAAATCAGGAGGACTGCTTAGTGAGGAAGGACTTAAAACAAACTGCAAGTTTTACATTATATTCATCATCAAATAAAACAAAGATTTTCTTGCCCAGTATCTTAACCATCAAAATGAACAGTTCCCTTTCCTGCCAAAACTATCACATTCAAAGTTTTTCACACAGTCATGGCTTGTTGCAGTTGTTCTCACCCAAAGAGACTCTGGCAGGAACTGCTCGGTGATCGATCCAGAAGGATACCCAGGACAAGATGACCATGAGGGTGGCAGGGAAGTAGGTTTGGAGTAAGAAGAAGAAAATGTGTCGGCGTAAAGTGAAGTTTATATAGAGGCGATTGTACCAACCTTTGAGAGGAGGAAAGCCAGAATCAGTGAGAACAGCCTGGATGGTAAGAACAAAGACGATCTTTCTTTTGATCTTTTATTTTTAAAGGGTAGTGAAAAGAGAAACTGATCTTTCAAAACATGTATTGTCCAGACTGTGGAAACTACATTTCAGTAACATACAATCCCAAGAGTTCTCTCACAAGTAGTTAGTACAGCATTAGGTTTAGCAATAGCATTAAATCAGAAAAGGCCAATACCTGTGCTACTGTAGAAAGCCAGTCTTGATGTAGTATGGAATTTTTGTATCAAAAACTGAGACAAGGAAATCTTTTCATCAGTTTCCAGAGATTCATTCCCCTTTTTCCAATACAGCATCAGCTCTTCATCAGTGTAAGCATCTTTGGTAAAGAAGAAACATGTTGTGATGTGACTTTAGCTTTGAGGGGAAACCAAACAATAATATGGTCAAGATTAGCAAACACAAAGGCATCTTTGGCACGTCACAAATAAGTTTGCTAACAACAGTGAGTTTAAAATATCTTGCAATATGATATACCATGACATCAACAACAAAACAAAAAATCCAGGTCATCCTGATTCACGGAAACACATCCTCTTTTTACTCCACACTGATGAAATGACAGTTAGAATGGTACTTTTCTGAGCAACACATATCAAAAATCATAGACAAGGTATTGCTAACTGATAAGAATAACTTGAGAAATAGTCATGGGTAAAACACCTGCATGTAGGGGAAGGAGGAAATACAGACACCTCAAACTATCTTAGAATGATAAAGCAAAAGTGATAGGTGTGATTTGAATCAAAAGTCTAGAAATATTTTAAGACCATAAATTAAAAACTTAAAGAATTAGCACACTAGGCAGCAGGAATGGGGAATGAAAAAAAAAAGATAATCAAGATGGTCTTGATGATGCTTGGCTGGAACACATGGCATAAGACAAGAGGCTGGGGGAGGTGGGTTTGTTCAGCTGGAAGAAGAGAAGTCTGTGGTGGGGTCCAACTGCTGCCCTGCTGGGGGTCATAGAGAAGATGGTGGCAGGCCCTTTTCCAAGGTGCAGAGCAAAAGGACAAGAGGCAAGGGATGCAAGTTGCCGCAAAAGTTTTTTTTCCAAGTAGGAAAAAGGAAAATTGTTCAGAATGAGGGCTGTCAAAGATTTGAACTGGTTGCACAGCAAAGTTGTGGAGCCTCCATTACCTTGGAGATGTTCAAAACCCAATGGGGCACAACCCTGAGCAACCCACTACAGAGCGCTCCCTGCTCTGAGCAGGGTATTGGAGCAGATTACTTCAAGACCAACCTAAATTACTCTGTGATTCTGTTGTTTGTACAGGAAAAATTCAATTAAATAGCTGGGAGGACCTCAAAACAACTAAATGTTAGTCTTGCCACACCCTGGAGAAAGTTTACAGAACAGCCACAAAACTCTTCCTGTTTACATCACTTTCTCCACAAAACAACTCCTTCTCAAAGAAGCTGAGCACAGGTCACAGTGTTTGCAGGATCAGGATTATATCATACTAAATGACATTGGTGATGAAAATTAATGATCATTACAAACAGCTTTTTCATTTTTACCCTTGAAAGCATCAACTTCCCTTCAGAAGCAATGAACAGAGAAAAACTCTCCCCTAGATTTCTCATCAGCAAGCTGCTGAGAACCAGTATATGTTGAACATTTCTGATCACGTTTTTTTTTAAAGTGCCGTCTATTAAAATTCATACAGCAATGCTTTCCTTGCAAATTCCCCTGTCTTGCAGCATAAGAGCTATACATACAACACAGTAAGTCAATAAGAAGACTCTTAGTAACTCTGATGAACAATTTTTTTAGGCTCTAAAACAGACTGTATTCTGAAATGTGTCCAGTCTATGCTTGTGCAGCCAGCCATGGAGCACATGTAGCTACAAACACAGATACAACATACAGCTTTCCAGCTCCAGAGAACACATCTGGGAGTCCAGGGGGAAGCGGCTGAAGTCCATGTTGCACATTTGTGTCACTGTGATCCTACAAGTCAAAAATGAGAAATACTCGTTTCTATGAGGAGTAAAGAAGGGAGAACATCGTCACAGATAAATCATTCTGCAGCTTTAAAACCAGCAACTATGCATGGTGTTAGCATAAAATCCCCAGGAAAATTCCTACCAATTCTCTAAGTCCAAGATGGGATGTAATATCCAACCAAGGTGGGTTATACACAGAAACCCAAAGGAAGCTGTAATTTCAATATCGGTCAAGGAACTAAAACACTATCTTGGACATTACAGTAATCTTAATGTCAGTACAGCTACTTCCACTGTGGTTTATATGCAACTATTTCCCTACAAGGCAACAATATAAAATAACTTTACCATTTACATTTGAAAGTTCCCTTATGTCCAGTTTGATTAAGGTTTCCTCATTTTCTCCATTGCTTAGTTCCCTCCATAGTGACCCCAACAATGACCCAAGTCTAAGGAATGTGACCATTCTTATTGCAAGCCACAAAATTCCTCCAGTATATTATCAAGGGAAAAGCAGTTTCTTTCAGTTTTTGATCAAATTCTTTTAATTTGGGGGATGAATTTCTGGGGCAGGGGTTATAAAATGGGTGCAGCTGTTTTTCAACTAGTGAAATTTGCCTCTGTTGCGTTCATGTCTTAGCTAAAGAGCTGCAGCAATCACAGCTCCAGTTTTCAGATAAGTCCAGTTGTGCACAACGTTACATAACAAGTTTTCCAGTGTGTCAGTGAACTCTCTCTTGTGGACAGATTTGCAGTGGAGCTCCCAATTTAGTAGGGGCAAATCAGCTGTGAGTCATCGTTTCAGAGGCTGACTTATGTTGGCCATGACCATTTTCTAGACTCGTTGCAGATGTTGATAAAGAACTTTTCTTCTGTTCAGGGGATTGTGACCCAAATCCTACTCTGACCTACGCACACATGCTCTTCATTTTGGCTATAAAACTAGAGCAAAATTTTGCCATATGAGCAAATCTTAAAGAAGATTTCTAGGGATATGCTCCAGAAGGTATAATGTAGCAGTGACCTTCCCTCGTTGTGTGTAGCATTTAAGCACTGTAAAACTCAGTTTCACTACAGTGTGCTGTTTTCTTTCCTCAAGGTCACCTAAACTGTGTCATACAACCTGTGGTCATTAACAGTTTGTTAGTCAGGGACAGCACAGAAACTCAGCTCATCATTAAGATATTCCTCAATCAGAGTGCAGTGTTCAGGTGGCCTTGAAAGCCCGAGGCCCAAATGAGGAATGAAATGTCCCTCAGCCCAATGCCAGGCCCATGCAGACGTTGCAAGACACCTGAGGGCATTTCCAGTGCCACCGGACACCCATGGTTTGTCAGCCAGATCACATTCTGAGTGTCCTAAACACCACCAGGCCCAAATACCATGCAGATTCTTGTTCTTAAGAGTTTACATATCAAATTATCCATTTAACTCTTGTGTGGTCAGCTGTGGTTAGCACACATCCCTCTTTCTTGAGGGTAACATAAGAAAGTCACATCACCTCCTCAGCAACTCACAGAAAATTTTGAAAGCAAATACTTCTGCATGTGAGCAAATTAGCAGGTCTGAACAGAGCCAATGTTTGCCATTAAAAATACTTGTTTCTTCTTTTTGGTTTTATTGAGCACTGCTAACAAGTGGTGTGCTGCTGGCTTCAGCACATGAGAACTGTAGGGTGTAAACAATGGAAACTGGTTCAGTTACACTGTAACGCATAATGCTGCCATTTCAGCTTTGATAAACTTTACATCAAAGTGCAAATGCTAACCAAAAAAAAAAAACCACCAAAAAAACAACAACAACAAAAACAACCAAAAAAACCCAAACACCCAACATTTTTCTAGACAAACAGGAAGCAAAATAGGATAATTATAGAGGTCACCATCTGGTATATCAGCAGCTTCCAGTTTAATCACACACTGACCCCGGGACAAACATTCCTACTCAAATAAACCCTCCTCTGACTGCCAAGAGTTAGTGGGATGCTTCTCCCAGGAGGAGATTATCCTGTTACTGCCCACAGCATGGTTTCTCGCAGCTTCCTGCAAGGCATTTTGTACTGGCCATGTCGGAAACGGCTCTGCATCAGCAATGGGAATAGCAGGCTTGGCAGAAGCAGTCCTGGTAGTCACCAAAGCCGTGCTGGGAGCAAAATTGACAGCAAAGCCTCAGTGGATGCTCAGGAGCAGTGGGGCTGCACCATTACCTCATGCTGTAGAGGACATGACCATCGGGGAACACTCGCAACATGATGTTGTCCTTGGTGGTATCATGAATGAAGGACCTTTTGGAATGCACAAAGAAGACATCAGGAACCCAGATCTTCTTCACCAGCCTGCCATCAAAGGTCATGCTCTTGTTGGTGGTGCTGGGAAACGAGAGACGCTCATCCTTCCAGTAGTGCCTTAAGTACAGAGTCATAGTAAAATCCTTCACAAAAAAAGGAAGAGAACCAGAGAGAGGTCTGTCAGTGTTGCTCTCTACATCTAGGAAACACCAGAATGAAAACTTACTCCTAATAGGCAGATTAAATCCCTCCCCTCTCAACTGCCGTTTCTTTCCTTGACCAATGCTCTTTGTGAATAGATTTTCCTGACAAAATACTTTTAGACAAAACAAAACTTAAATAACCAATCAGTGTATTACAGTACCCAGTAATGTTCAGTCCAAAAGGGATATAAAGATGCCCCAAGAAAAGCACCTCCCTGCAGAAACGATTCTTCAATCCTGGCAAAATTATCTTGAAGGTCTATGGTATTAGTAGCATGTTCAAGAGGAAGCACTTTGAAATTAGCTTAATGATCAGGCTAAACACGAAGGAATTTATCCCCAAAGAACCAAATTGTTGCAACCACAACCAACTGAGGGAACTGTTTTTCTTACCATACAAATGTATAGATAAAGCTCCCTTTTAAGCTAGGGCAGGAGCTTCAGTACACAAAGGAAAACATCTGTTCGTTGATCCCAACCTGGCAGCTGCTGCTTTCAGAGCTGAATCTACTCACTCATGCTGAGAGATCAAACACACTTGGATTTTTTATATTCCCAATTAAGTGAGGAGTTATGGGATCTGTAGCTGCCAACTCCAGGCAGGCAGCAACACAGGCTGGGATCTCTTCCTAACCACAAGGCAACTGCTTTCTAAAACCACCACCACCTCATTTTGCTTTGCCAATGACAAACCATTGGTTAACCTGACTCTCCATTTCAAAGGGTTGTCTGGCAACAGTCTTGCATGGCCAATAAGTTTTTGATGAATTTGCCAAAGAAGTCTCTAGTGCTAGTTCTCGCCTTGCTGCCCTGCACCTCCCTCTCTGACCATGGCAAGGATCTGTCAGAGGCACACTTCTGCTCACCCACCTACAGATCCCCATCTTGGCAGACTGGTCCCAGCCTCCACCCCTGCTCCCACCAGGGATGCTGCCAGCTCCTGTTCCCTACCAGACACTGGCCATCTTCCCCTTACAGCTACAGTCCCCAAGAAACACTTCCAGTGACTGCTGCTACCAGCAGGGATTAGGTTGCAACCTGACTGGAGGAGCCAGCCTCAGGGGCTGGTCATCAAACTCATCAGCTTTACCAGACCTGGGAAAAAGGAAACCAAGGAAGAGGCATAACTGATGATTTCTTAGGACACAGTGCCAGTTACAACAGAAGTCAAAAATGCAGTGAAAAAGAGCCTGGCTATTCAGGGTCACCAGCACACACCTCATGGCCCCAGGCATGACATGAGATGAAGGGACATCAGCACCCTCAACACAACTTACAGCCACCATGGAGGGAGAGACTGCCTGTAGGGACAGCGTGGAAAGGGGCACGGAGATTGCCTGCAGAGACAGTGAGGGAAGGGCCGCACCACTTTCCAGACCACTCCTTTCCTTGTCCCCCTAGGCAGAAGCCCTCTCCTCTCACCTTCAGCCTCCTTCTTTCTCCAAACAGGCTTCCAATGGCCAAGACACAGGGCACCAAGTGCTGCAGACACAAAACCAAAGTTGCAGCTGGCAACATCTTCTAAATATAAAACTGAACTTACTGATGTTTTCTTGTAGTGTGAATCAAACAAGGCAGTTTGCAATCACAAACAGCTTGTTCCTTTCTGACCAGCACATGCACTAGTTACAAGCTGAGAAAAGGGTTTTTTTCAGCACTCATGAGTAGGAAAATCCCTTAGAAAACAAGTTTTGCAACAAACAGAGAATGATAGTACCTTCTGGAGGCACAGTGAATAAGCATACACAAGTGCCTCATTTTTGGCAGCACACTTTGTGCCTTGTACCACAGTCCAAGCAGCCTCAAGAGCATGCCCCACCAGTGCACACAGCAGCAGCCTATCCATGATGACTTGGACAGGCACCAGTTTTAAAACCACATGCTTTAAACAAACCCTGACTGCTATCATTGACGTGCTGTCTGAAAAGTACAGTGGGTTGCAACTGGTGACATCTCAATCTGCTGCTTTTTTGGGGCACCAGGTGCCTGCTCCAACAATGATGGGCAAAGGACTGACCAACCGAGGGCACCTGATTACTAGGGCCACTAAGCCTTCAATGTGGTGCCTGCAGCTCCACCCTGCCTTCAACAGACAGATGAGGAGGGCACCCTGCTGCAGGCACAGCCAGCCCAGGGCCCCTGGCCGTGCAGATCGCTCACTGCCCGCTCTCCTCTCCGCAAACATCCACGCTGGGACAGACTGCAGGACAAACAGACCAGTATAACCCAGAATGACCTGGGAGACCATTCATCCACCCCAAATACAAGTCAACAACTGCTGTGGGAAGTATTTGTCTTGTGTTGGGAAAAATAAGTGATCAACAGCAAAGGGAGAGAACTGACCTCAAAGGTACCCAACGGGCAAGACTTCTGTTGAAATCAGATGTTCCTGACAGAAAGCACTGCAGGTTATTTACTTGCACTAATTAGGTCTCTTTGCTGCTCTGACATTCTCTTGAGCCCCAAGTCTCCCTGAGACAGACATTGTGCTCTGACAGCTCCCTCCCATGAGCTTCATTGCACGCATCCCTCCCCCCATCCTCTCTTTCTGTATCCAGGCAGGCAAGGTCCCTTGTTTTAATGAAGATGTAATTTCACCACAGTAAAAACTGATCAATCTGAAGATCTTCCTTTAAGTCTTCATGTTTTGTCTGGACCAGAGAAGGTGCCCAAGAGCAGGGAGAAAGAGGCAGAAGGAGGAAGGAACCAAGAAGTTTCGTCTTTCCCTCTATGTTCCCCTTTCCACTTCTCTTTCCAGTGTTTTTATTCCATTTCTTCCACTAGTGAAAAAAAAAAAAAAAAAAAAAAAAAACCAAAAAAACCCCCAGGAAGACACATGTGAATATGCCTTTGGGAGCACCTTGAGAACTGTTGCCGGTTAACAACTGCATGTATTTATTTTTCTTTTTTATTTAATGAAAAAATAAATATAATAAATCACAATTGAACTTGGTGCAAATTTACTGAACAGCATCATCAGTGACTGAAAAACTATTCCACTTTGGCAGGGGCACTTCAGGGTCCCCTTGACACATCCCACTTATACTCCTCAGTGAGGTTACTCCCAGAGATGAAGAAGGAGCAGCTCCTTCTCATTTACATTGTCAACTTAATTTTCTCATGCACCTCCCAGAATCACGCATTTAAAACAAATTAACTCAAGGAAAACAAATGAACCTAAGGAAGAAAACTTGCTGTAAATGCAGCTTATGCAGCTTTATGCAGTTTATATTTTTGGTTGTGATAGATCCTTCATAGCACTGATTATTCTCCCATTTAAGGTCCCTTTTCCCTTCATACTTTTAATCTTTATCTGAAGATACAGAGATAAGCCTTTGATCACCTGGTTTTATCAAGTCTTTAGTTCTGAATATCAGATTCTTTGAATTTGCCAAATGCAGCTATTACTTTCATCTGACCAATCATTTGAAATTCACAGGTTTCAAGTGGGAGGGACTTTTTCATGTCTAGAAATAATTGAGGTTTAAAAGAGGATTACGTACCATGTCAACCTCAGAAATACTGTCCAAGCTTTCAACTTGCACATCCACCCCAACAGGAATTGCAGGGCCTGTAGGAAAATTACATTTTGATATGTAAATAACTGTTCTTTTATATCATCTGCATTTATTAGCACTATAAAGTGGCATGCAAAACATTTCTGAACTTATGTTATACTTTTCTGTCCATGATTCTTCATGAGGGGGCTGGGAGAAGAGTCAGTGAATAACCATGTAAGGCCCCTTTGAAACACTGGATTATCTTCCCCTTGGCATCCTCTGCAATGTTGACACTCTGCCCAGCTAATACAGTTTGGATGGAACATCTGCATACGTTTTTAAAAACTAAGCCATCCCACCATAAATTTTAGGCCTTTATGAACACATTGAGCCCCAATAACAGAGGAATGAGAAGTAGAAACTGCAAGCAGTGAGCTCTTCCTTTTTTATCAACAAGACAAGTTGCACTAATCTCTCAAGAGCCCATCACCATTTTGTTTCATATGACTCATTGGTTATATTACTGGGAAGCTTCTAGCATCTTCTCACAGAAGCCACCCCTGTAGCTCTCCCACTACCAAAACCTTGCCACATAAACCCAATAAAAGGACAAAGAAGCACCAATTCATCTTTGTTGGGGAAAGGGTAATTGAGAAGGCCACAAGACAAGCTGATAACTGTGACTGGCCCTGATAAATATTTTGACTGGCTTTGATAAGCCAGGCACATTGAATTACAGCAGAGCATGCTGACAGTGACACTGTCCCCCTTCTGCACACATGGCTCCAGCCTGTTGTGCCCACACCATCCATCAGCAGCTGTGATGGGTACAGGAACCCTGCAGCAAGCCCTGGAGAGCAGGACCAGGCTCCTCAGCACCACCAATTCAATTGAAGTGACTGTTGCCCTCAGCAATGAAGCTGAAACATGGCTAACCCAGAACTTTTAGATGACTCCTAGATGCTTACAAACACCTACATGTCACATTCAGACATGTAACTCATGGTTAAAAAAATGCCAGCAAACATTTGCTCATTCCTATTCGTGTCTTGGTGGTGTCTGTCCAAGCTGAAGGGTGTTTGTCTGAAAGATTTACTTGAGGGAAAATTTCAGTTAATCAGCCCTGACATATCTCTTTGGAGCCCAGAGACTTCGCTAAGATTTTTTACTCCAGTAACACAAGCCCATCTTGCTCCCTTTCCTGTCTCCCTTTCAGATGCTTATATAGTATAAGGAATCACCATAGGCCAATGAAATTCTCACACTGTTGGCATTCAGTTCCCGTTCTCACAGGAATTCCCTGAAACAGGGAAAATCCACAAAGCCTCAGACTGCACCTGCTATGAAACACAGACATGCTGTCACAAACGCATCCATCAGCAGAGCAGGGCTGAGAAGTGCTGAAGATTTTTTTTCTCTTGCAAACAGGGCTTCACAACACAGGTGTGCTTATCCAGCAGGCAAGAAAAAACCTCAGTCCCCCTCCCCAAATTACACAGGGAATGACATTCAGCAAAGGGTGAAATTGCACGAAGTAGCCTGAGCTTGTGGTGGGACCTTCTGTAAGACTGTTCAGCTCATTGACCCACAGAAAGTTAACTCAGTCAAAACTAACAACAGCAGCAGCAATGGGACTATTTTCTTCCAAATCAGTTACTTGATTCAGCCCAAGGAAAGACGTGTCAGGCATCAGCCACATGTCAGCCACCAGGGCCAGAGGAGAGAGGAGTGGAGGAGGACAGCAGGTCAGAGAGCCTTTGGTGGCACTGGCTTGGCTCCTCACAAGCCAGTCCCTGTCTGTCAGGCCAGGAAATGTGCTCAGTCCCTACTGATCTGGCCACAGGACCTGACTGTTCCTCAGCCAGTAGATTCCTTTTCAAATCACCATAACTCAGCAGAGAGAAGCAGATCCATGGCAAAATCACAGGTATCTTTTCCTTGTTGCCCTTGACATGTGTCCTTTCTTTTGTCTGGCTCCTTGCCCTGGGAAGATGCATTGCCTATGTCCCTGCCAGATGTGTCATTCCTAACACACAATCCAGCATCCTGCAGACAATGACCAGCACATGGCCCTTCTGTCACTCCACAAATGCCTCATTTTCTGTTTTCACCAGAGGAAATGGTGGCTTCCTTAAGTGAAAATATTGTGGCAATGGCTTTGCAGTATTCTACTCCCCTTTATCCTCTTCAGTTGAGTAGTTATTGACTATGATAATATGCAAATTAGCTTATTAGAGTGTTTATGGAGTGCTGTTTTTAGGGTGGTGTTTTGGTTCTTTTCAGTTGACCTAATAAGTCATGCTACATCTCTCTACCAACCCCGTTTGTCTTACATATAGTAATTTAATGCAGTCATTTTCAATCTGAAATCATTCATTGAGTTTATACCTTGGTTGCAGCCACACTTCTTTCTACTCTTTATGATTAAGACATCAAGTAAACAAAAAACCAACACCAAGAGAAAGAATTTCTCTATGATATTCCTCCTGATCAGTAAAATGTGTTTTGGGCTTTTGAGAAAAGCACTGTATCTGTGGTGATAACATGCATTTTGGTGTGCAGTATGATCAACAGGGAAACAACACAAGCTTGATGATAGGCAGTGCTGTGTTGGTAGCCAGTTAGCCTTTCTTTGCTCAGATATCTCATGAAGTCATGCATGTTGATCAAGAAGAGCCTGGGAAATTATTTAAATACTTATCTATTCCCTTAATGCCTTTAAATACCCAACAGGTCTTCAGTGTAACATATTTTTGATACTTAACTTGGGCCTCTGCAAGAATAAGACTCAATGCTCAGAGTAAGACACTTCACAAAGGCTCCATGGTCCAACACAGCCCATGTCAGGGCTGGCACAAGGCTGCCATCAGCCCTGCCTCTGGCTCCTGCTCTAGAAAATGCTTGTAATTATTATTATCCATTATCACACACAGCTGTTGACATAGTGGTAGTGCCCGCAGTGCTGCCATCCCAAACAGGCATGTCGTGGTAGGCACGGTGCTAACAGAGAAGATGCAGTCTCTGCCAGGACGACTTCACAGCACAATCGGGCTGTGCCAGAAGAGGAAGACAGCAGTCAGCCACGGTACTTCTTACTGGGTCTCCTTGGTGCCGAGGGGCTGCATGCCCAGCACATGCTGGACAGCCCCCACCCAGCTTCCAGACTGTAAGAGACACTCTGTGTACAAATGCTTAATTTAGCCTTGATTCAGAAAATCAACACCCATCCAAAGTCTATTTACTGCTTCAATTTCCATGCTTGACTGAACACTAATCACAGATTATTTAAAAAATCAGCTGAAAACGAAACACAAAAAACAACAAACAGAATGCTGCCAAGTTAGTATTTGTCCCTCTCCGGTTCCTTCCCTATCTGCTCTTGAAGATAAAATGCTATGTCTATGTTCTTTCCTTTTTTCATATTCTTGCACCAATTGCTCGATTTAGTTCCCAGATAACCAGCAGTTATCCCATTGCAAGGCTAAAGTCTAAGGTTCAGTCTGGAGCTGCCATGAAGCTTTATTAAACTCAAAATATAGGGTGTTCAGGGTAATGCTGGATGGTCTGGAAAGCCCTTGAGAAAAGAGGTCTGAGGTTAGGTGTCTTGTACATCAGTGAAACTGCTTTTACTTTTTTCTTTTCTATGGTTAATCATGAATTTGAAGGATAATAAAGCAGTGAGTATAATAGAGAGAGGGAGAAATAGTTTGTACTCTGGACTCAAATGTGAAGTTCTTAATACAGACAGTATGAAGATGAAACTGTAAAATTACTTATCAGTGGAAATATTTATCTTGCCTTTCTTGGGGAAAATCCTACTACTACAGTCATCAGGAACAATCACTGCTTTTCTCTTCTCCCTGCTCCTCATTCAGCACCTGGAGCTGAGGTGATGAGAAAGCACATAAATAGCAACTAGAGTCCATTGAGACACCAAGAAGACCCTTTGGAGGAGGCTTGGACAAGAGGCTGAGCTGAGCAGGGAAGAGTGGATGAAGATTTAGTGGGGCCAGCCCAAATATTTCTGCCTGGGAGCTAGTGGTGGGAATCAGATGATCACCAAGTCCTGCTCTAGGCAATGCACATAAATGAAAATGATAATTGCATATTCACTTGGCCCACCACTCTTCAACACTTCTACTATGATGCAGTTTTACAGAGGCGCTTGATGCAAATAACATTGTAAATGCATGCAGTGTCTGAAGAAAACAAGAAGCCCTGTAAAAAAATGGCCTCTTTAAACCACAGAAACAAACCCTGGGTTTCCTTAAAGGTCATATTGGCTACAGCACATAGCATTGAATTAAACGGCTGTTGATCAGTCACAGAAAGATGTCAAAAGATCTTTGGTCTCACTAGTCCTTTGAGTCAGCTGGGAACTGCTAGCTTTTTAATCGTTTCTCTCTGGAAACTAAACTGTTGAACCACTGGCAGTTCAGATGCTTTGCCAAATTCCCCATCAAATGCTGCTAGGGATGAGCAAACCGAAAAAAAATTCTTTATTGAAAGGGAGCAGAGGATGAGGAGGTGTTGCGCAGATAGACAGAGGACAAGTAACTTAGACTATAGCATTATAAAACAAAAAGCCCTCATCAACCAACTTTTCCTTGTCATAAACAATATTTTATCAATATTCATGATTTTTTTCAGAGAGACGAAAACCAGAAGGATCTGCTTGGAGAATTACAACCAGGAAAAGACCTGAATACTGTAACACTGGAGAAATCTCAAAGCTCAGGCTCCTCTCTAGGATGTTCACTGCTGGATGGAAAGCTAAATGAATCCACATGGAATATGTGGGTTTGGCTGAGAAGAGGAGCAGTGCTGTTTTGCTCAAAGACTGCATGCAGACCAGCAAATCTTTTCAGCTCATACTTTAGGCTCTCTGAAACATATCAGCCAAATTAATGGAATTTTTCAAATTAAACATGAGATCAAGTATTTATAGATCAAGGTCTAGAGAGAAAATGCATAACCTTCAACTGAAACATTTCTTCCAGAAACAGCAAACACATCAACATCAATTATCTCCATCACTGGCCACTGCAATATCTTGCACAACTGAAATTCT